TATATATATATATATATATATATAGTAATACATTCCTATTCTATATTATATGGTTCTGACCCAGTTCAGAGAACGCAAGAAAAGGGAGACACTCTTCGTCTAAAAGTTCTGAAATAAAAATGTATTCAACACAAATCCAACTTTCGACCATGAAGTGTGAAAGTCAGTGAAATCAATGGTGTATGGTAAGCATTGGTGGATGGATGTGGAAGTGTTGAATTGTTTAGCACAATCATCTCCAAAGCTAAAGGCAGCACTGTACCTGTGGAGGAGGGCAAAGAAGACTTAATAAAAAGTGAGGGTTTAAAAACTAAGCGCCTTACCAGGTCCTCAGGGGCCCCATATCAGTAACCAGTGCTGGAAATAAAAGGTAAATGCCCAAATCAGCCACAAGGGGTCCTGCAGGATCAGAACAGTGGAACAAAAATACTGACCCAATTTAGGGTTTCTGTTATTATCAGAGCAAACCATGATAATTCTGACTGTTCATGGATTGAGATAGTTTTTCTGTCCAAATAAAATCAATTTCTTCCTCTTTGACTTGTTTCATTTTGTCTCTCAGACTTAGATCCTGTAACCTCTCAGGGAGAAGTTGTGAAGTTCTCTCATCAGTTCTGAGGTCCAAGTCCTGCTGTCTGAGAGAGATTTACCTGCAGAACAACAACCTGCAAGATTCAGGGGAGAAGTTTCTGTCTGGTTTGGACTGGACAGTATTCAGGTTAGGATTCATCAACCTGGTTCTTCTTGGTTCTAAAGAGGAACAGTATTCTCTGTTTCACAGATCTAAATCTTTTAAATGCTACGTTGATTATGTTCTGGTAAAGCCTTCTGAGTTTCTCAGCTGAACAGACAGCAGTTAGTTCATCATCTGTTTCATTATCTCAATTAGAATCATGGTGACCATTATCAAGTGCTGTCCAGGTCCCTCTGACCCGATGGGGCTTTGATGGAATTCCTCTTTAAATTCACTTTTCACTTTAGTTCTAACTATGTCCAGGACATAAACTATTTTGGCCCTTCTAGAACTATCTACTCACCGATTCTTGAAAAGTCTGTAGACTCCAGATGGCCTCCAGAGATACGCCTCCCTTCAAAGAACAAAGCAGGAGGACATAAATAATGACACAGCAAACACAGGAGAACCATCTGGAGTCAGAACCAGAATGAGTGAACAAACACACGATCATCCAGTTTCCAGTGGATGATGGTTGCTGGTTCCCCAGTTTTTGGACATCAAACTGGATCATCTGTGTCCAGAGTAAAGTTCCAGCAGAACATCAGAGATCTGAACCTTGTCTGCTTCTCTGAGACATGGAGAACCCCAGTGGTTCTGGACCTCACATTGATACGGTCCAAATATTTTACCCGCAATCAGTGGACAGAGCAGCAAAGGCAGGGACATCAGCAGGTGGTGGAGTGTGTGTCATATCTAATAACAGATGTTTTGATGGTGCGGACATCTGAACACTTTCCCATTCTGATTCAGCACATCTGGAGCATCTGTCCATCAGTTTACTTGCTCTGACCATCCTTCTGTCTCAGAACGTTTCCATCAGTAAATAACACAGCTGTCTATATTCCACCTCAGGCAATATGTGAGAGCTCTTCAAACTGGAGATGAAGAGCCAGACTGGATAGTGTCCACCTCCTGCCTGATTAAAGAGATGAGATAAAAAAAAAATGAGTTCAAACTGGGTTAAAACATGACAACTACAGGACGGGACTTTAGAGACGCTCCATTCAAATGGACAGGTCCAAATGTTGTACAGTTGGATTCTGAGTGAAGAACAGAACCAAGTAATGTCTGCTGTGGCAGAACCTTCAGTACTGAGACAGGAAAATCCACCTTGGTTGATTTGAACTCTTTAATATCCAAAGTAGGAAATGAGGAGAATTGGGTCCAGAGGCCTGGCTGACTGCAGCTTGGCTGACAGACATGAGCCAAGGTTCCTCAGCCATCAGCTAGATTTATACAGCATTGCTTATTGTTAGCAGCTGACAGACAGTACAGGCTGCATCATGTTGTCTGATTCTGATCTATCAGTTTTGTTTCTCCCACAATGGCTCAGACAATGTATGCAGCAGGTCACAGAGTCCAAATGACGCAGATCTAGTTCTTCCAGCAGCATGTCAGAGTGGAATCTGATCTGATCTATTACAATCAGTCTATTTGTAAAAATAAAAAAAAGAAGTGGGATGGTGGATTTTTTTCCTTTTTAGGCATAAAGCCTAATGAATATTATCTATTAACCTAAAAGCAATATGCATGGTATGGTTGTTACATGTCAGGTACGCCAGTCATTGACCTTGACCAAGGCACCTTACAGTAGAACTGCAGTCAGTCACTCCACAGGCATGGCTATCACTGCCCATACATAGTTAGCATGGCTATCACTGC